ACTGTAGCACCTTTTCTTCTCAATGTGCAACAGACACGTACATTGTGTACACACATACATACCCTTTGGCGGCCTCGATGTAGGTGGACATGTACTCATAAGCAGCTGCCTGGGCGTTGACCCTGGTCTCAGTTCCCTCTACGGGGAGGGCAAACGTGTCCATGACGACCATGTTGGGCCCGTCTATCTTCCCCAGCATTAACCCCATCACCTCCAGTCTCCCTCCGGACCTCGCGTGCATCACCATTTTCAGTAGAGCCAGCGCTGATATCTGCACCGTCTTGAAGTAGTGTGGACTGGAGGCAGGGAGGAAGAGGATTTTCATAAGTCAAACAGAATCAGAGAATACGTATATATGTAATATGTCTCGCACACTAGCCGAAGTGGAGGAAGAACAATAGTGTAACCTCCGATAAGGGACCCTCCGAGATAGTGACGACCTCTCTACAAAGGACACTTGTTTCAACCCCATGCTAATACTTTAGTGTACTATTTGACCTCCGAGATAGGGACGACCTCTCTACAAAGGACACTTGTTTCAACCCCATGCTAATACTTTAGTGTACTATTTGACCTCCGAGATAGGGACGACCTCTCTACAAAAGACACTTGTTTCAACCCCATGCTAATACTTTAGTGTACTATTTGACCTCCGAGATAAGAACGAACTCTCTACAAAGGACACTTGTTTCAACCCCATGCTAATACTTTAGTGTACTATTTGACCTTCGAGATAAGAACGACCTCTCTACAAAGGACACTTGTTTCAACCCCATGCTAATACTTTAGTGTACTATTGACCTCTGAGATAAGGACGACCTTTCTACAAGTGACAAAATCAGTTTACCCCATATAGCGTCCATTGTTTCGGAGAACCGATCCCCTTCACACAAACATACACATGCACATGTACACACAGATAGCATGTAACGACAGCCCAGTGCTGCCTACTCCCTCGCTGTAATAGTCGTAAAAGGATGGATTATACAGTATCTACTATATCCATGGTAAAAGCTAGTCTCGCGTAGCCACACCACTCACGAAAACGGGGGAGGGGATGGCTACGCGAGACAAGAAGCACCCTAAACAAGTTTTCTTTGTGCTCACTCATTGGTCCAGGGTTTCTTCACGAGGAGCTCTTGCTGTTTCTTGTGGTCATAACGGAACACGGCGTCAGCGCTGGGTACAGCCCTGATGCTGTTGGCTAGCTCGAAGCTGGCCTTCGCCACTGCAGAATCACTCCCTGCTGCCATTTATACCGCTCAAGCCCCAAATAACGCACGCCAAGTAACGCCGCGCATGCGCACCATAAAGTGCCGTAATTACGTGCATGCGGTACGTAGTTGCTTTCTCTGCTCAAATTGAATAGTTTTCTGTATGGCCACAGTGTTTGACCGGCACTGCCATGCGCGTTGTGTCTGGGCATGCTATTGGAAGAGAAAGCGAATTTGATATACAGGGGCTAAAGCAATCAATGAGTGGTTCTCATTTCATCTTCATCTTGACAGACTTCATCCTTGGATTCAACAGCTTCCGCATCTGTCTTTTGTGCTCTCGTTGCTATTATGAGGGAACAGAATACTCTACACAGTAATAACACTCCCCTGGGGGGCTACTGCTGCGTGGTCTCACTCCCATTTGCGTGCCTTCTCGGGGTCCTCCTCCAGCATCATCTTCTCCTTCTCCATTCTCTTCTTGTCTTCCCTTCTGGCTTGAGCTGCCTGTGTGGGGGACAAACACACCACCAGCAATGTACAGTGGAACCCCCTCTCTAATCTGGACACCAATGGGACAGAGAGATATGCCCTTTTCCCAGGGGTTAAATCATGCAAAAACTGAGCCTGGGGAAGATAAGATATTCTAGAACAGTGGCTCATTAAACACTGCTTGGGTCCGTTGGAAGATGACACACTGTGGCATACAGAAAACATTTTGCAGGTTTTAATTCAATTTTATGAGCATTCTCTACCACAAATATTCACTGAGAAAGCAAAACAGTATTACAATTTGCTTAAAATTAATATCCCCCTAGCCCCCCTCCCCACCAAATAAAACATTTTGACTGCAGGTAAGAAGGGGAGAGAGACGAGAGAGGGAGAGTCAGGTTACTTACCTCTTGTCTCTGCTGGTGCTGCAGTTTCTCCTTGTCCTGAGCCACGCGGTTCCTGTTCTTCTGTGCCTTCTCCTTTGCCTGCACAACCAGAAAACAGCTAAACGTGGAGTGAAAGAAACGATATCCACACACAAATATATACAGGTTGTTAGACTCTAGTCTTGTTCCCAGGATCCTCTCAAAAAAGGGAGGAAAAGACTGGGACATTTGAGCACTCTATTATTAGAATGAGAAAGACAATGTCACTCATGTGGCTGTTCTTATCCCCAAGTCGCCCTATCTCACTGTCACTATTACTGTCCCACTGTCCGCCCACTAACTACACCCACCAACCTCCTTTGTGAGTCGAGTGGTCTTCACGTGATCCAAAAGAGTGAGTGCAAACCTCACTATGTCATCTCCATCATCAATACCACCCACTGCGATATATACGGAGAAAGCGCGAGTGATTGTACAGGTGTATATCGTGGGTTGATTTAGCTGTATATACATGTCCCATAAGAAATGCATGCCACAAATAAAGTATGCGGTGCCTGTATTACACAACCATTTCCGGGGCTCAGGTGAACGGAATAGGCTTTAGAGGAGACCCTCACATTTGAAAGTCATCTCCAGTCTGTTCTGAGGTTTCCTGATGACTGTAACCTCGGCAGAGTCGTCCGCATCGGGCAGAAATCCCGTGTACTCGTTGGACACGTGGAGACTCTGCAGGAGATGGGCGTATCTGTTGAGGAAGGTCACGATCTGCTGGTTGAGGACCGCCTGAGCAACCTCCGGGGCCTCGCAGACTATCTGGAGGTCAGAGTCCAGACCCAGTCGCTTGGCAGGTCGCGGGGGAGTGCAGTAGCGGTTCTGGTGGTGGTGGGGGAGGAGGAAAGGAGAGTAAGCTGAAGAAACTAATTATGGCTCTTGTTACTTCAATTAAAGACAGAGTTTTGAGTCACGAAATGTGTTGTTAGTTACTCAGTGAATTTACCTGAATCAAAAACCATAACATTCTTCCACAAAAAAGAGACTATTATTGGTGTTTACCAGGTCTTCGTACTCCTGTTGCATCTTGGTGAGTGTCTTCTTCTGTCCGATGGCCATAATGATGCTGTCCATGTCTCCCTCTCCCAGCTGCATCACTATTGTCTGCACAATAGGAGAGTGTGAGCGTGTGCTCGTGAGCTAGTACATACTACGTACATTGCTGTAACGCAGTGGGTGTGAGTTGCATACTACATAATACACACACTTTTGCAACAACTATTTGTGACCACAAATATATTTGGTCTTAGTGTACCAGCTGAATTCGCAAACGACGAGGGAATATGGGAGTACATAAGGGCTGTATTTGTTGGCCCACTCTGGCTCTGACCCCTTCATTTACATAAGGGCTGTATTTAGCTAAAACAAAAGGGCCTAATGCAAGAATGCATATTCGTGACAGTTTGTTTCTACATTTATCCCTTACATTATTATACATACAGTACACTCCCATGTTCCCTTTAAGTGATTTATGTTATAAAATGTCCGACTCACAACTAGGTCTTCCTTGGGCCATATGAATGAGAGGAGAAGTGACAATAAATCCTGTCTTTGCAGCAACTACAAATACGTGGGTGAAAAATCAATAAGTTCATTGCATGTTAGTTATCGGTAGTTTGGTGATCATTTTGGTATGAGTCTTACGTGCACAGCATAGAGTAATGAACCTACATGTTTCCGTGTCTGTGCAAAGCTCACTTTTACACATAACCCCGTGTGACTATACATCATAATCTGAGTTTATTTTTGCTCAATATTAGTTGGAAGTTTTTTTAGAGATTATGAAATGTACACGAGATTATTTAGAGATTATGAGCACTGTATGTATGTATGTATGTACCTTGAGTTGGGCAAGGAAATTGTCACAGTTGATTCTACCCGAGGCCCACACCGTATACACATCGTCGCTCTCCTTGATCAGCTTCCCGTCTCCCTCCCCCTCCTCCTCCTCCTCCTCTCCCTCTCCCTCCTCCTCCTGTACCTCCCCCACCAAGGCAAAGTTGCTACGCAGCACCCCTGCATGCCTGTCCAACCTGCACACAATAGACCAGCACTATACAGACAATATTGTAAGACGTATTATATAGATGTGAAAAGTTACTAAGTGTTCTGAAAGGATCAAGGACTCCTAAAAGCGAACAACCTTCAAGAGGCAATTTGTACTCCGTCCAATGGCTAATCAGGACACCAATGTGATAGAAGGAAGTGTCCATGTTAAAGAGGTCCGATTTGTCAGGGGCTAAATTGCACGCAAGAACAAAAACGGTGCACTTATTAGAATGGTGTCATCTTTTCATGGGTCTTCATACACAGAGAGGGGATGCACCGTACCATGTCGATACAGTGTATGAATGAACCTCTTTCGCTCCATTTCCAAAAGGCATATATACAAGATTTCAACAAGACCTAAAATGGTTGACAACAGGGGTTAAACATCATTTCAGTCAAACGAACATGGTTGGTGCTCTTGGGGCAAGTTGGTTCACCAGTACTCAGGTGTGCAGCCCAAACATGGTACACAAAGCTCATTGGCCAGCAAAACGAGCACACCTCTAGTCGTCTAAAAGTGCCATTTTCTTTCTTTTTCTGTCGTGACCAGCACTGCCGCATTGCACATACCGTAATGTTGTCCGTGATTCTCACGAAAATTTAACTGCTTGCATTTGCTCAACAAAAATGCCTTGCATTCGATCTAGTTATCAGTCAAACTAAGGGGGCAGTGTTCCTAGTGGGGCTCACCAGGCTTGCGCCAGGCTGGCGTTCTTGCTGCGACCTGACATGTAGTTGATGAAGTAGAGGAGGAGGCTGACTCCAATGAGGATCTCTCCGATGTAGGCCAGCCACACCGGCTGGAGTCGAACGGCACTCTGCAGAGAGGGAGGGTTGGTGTGAGGGTGTGGGGGAGAAAGGTTGGTAAGCGCATGTGGGCAAGGTAAGCCCGTGTTAATACATGCATATTTGTCTCGTTCACTTGATTTCACGCCGTAACTCTCAAACGCAGCAGTTTCAGAGAAAACCCTATATATACATTATATATTTTCGACCTATATAATTATACCCGATGCTGAATACGCGGTATTGTATGTGGAGCGATTCATGGCTCGTGAAGTGAAGTGAGATGTTGGGTAACGGACAGACAGACACACAGACACAAAAAGCAACTACCGTAACCCTCGCTGCGCATGCACGCTGAGGGTTAATTAACTCAAAATTTCTCCAAGGATTGCTCTTCAACAGCTTGAACACATCTAGGAACTACAGTGAAAAGAACTGTATATCAGCCCTGGACTCACCTCCGACAGATGTATCTTGCTCAGAGGGGGGGTTGATTTCCCGGCCTCAAACTCGTCATCGTCTATCCCCTCAAACTCTCCTCCCTCTCCCCCCTCCTCGTCCTCCACTGACATGTCCTCATCATCCTCCTCTTCTCCTTCCTCCTCTATCACCTCCTCAACTGTAATACCTAGTGTGTGGTGGCGCGTTTTCAGACGGCACGCGAGTATATACATAGAGAAGGAGGCACTAAATAGAGTTTATAACCGTCGTCCCACTCTTCTTCCGCGTCGAAGTCGAACTCTGCAAAGTCGTCGTCTTCCCTGTCAAGAGGGGCATGCTTCACTCTCCCGGCTCCTACCACGGCGGCCAGAAACAGTAGCAGGAGCGCTACTAGCGGACGAAACGCGGCCATCGTCATACACTTAATTGCAACAACGTGAATAACGCGCATGCGCATCCAGGATAGTTAAGGGTGACATCATTGGATACTCTTCTGCAAAGGGTATAGGCATGTTTTGGGGGAATTAGTGTGAATAATAGATGAATAGGGATAAGAAGGAGGTTATTGAAAAGTTCTCAAAGGGGGAGGTAACAGGGGTGAGAGGAGAAGGTCATTTGGTGCCTTTGGTCTTCCTGTCGGGGGCACACTGGGGGCAGTACCACTTGCCCTTGGGCTTGGAGGTGAGTCCCACACACTGGAAGTGGAACCACTCTGATCGGACACTGAGGAGGAGGAGGAGGAGGAGGGGGAGGTAGGGGTTAAGAGAAGTACAGTGGATGATGGACACGTTGGGAAAAGGCACTTTTGGGAAAGTTTCTCTTTGGAGTTTAGAAGAGTGAACACAAACAGGTCGCACTGTAAACTGCCACACACAACAGAGTAGTTGTTGATTGTGGTTGTTATTGTTGTGCTTACAGACAGTTTTGCCAAGAAAAGTTTTTGCTAAGACTTTACGGTAACGGTCGTATGTACAAAGGACAATACAACAAACAGTGAACCTCCGAATAGGGACCCTCCGAATAAAGGACACCTCTTCATACAGGACACTTGGTTCTGCCTCATATTAATACATTAGTGTATTATTATCTCCAAATAAAGGACGTCTCAGAATAGAGGACACTTTCAACGTCCCAAAGGTGTCCCTTATTCAGAGGTTTTACAAAACTCCCCATCATAGCCCATACATACAAAACTCCCCATCATAGCCCATACATACAAAACTCCCCATCATAGCCCATAGCATACAAAACTCCCCATCATAGCCCATACATACAAAACTCCCCATCATAGCCCATACATACAAAACTCCCCATCATAGCCCATACATACAAACTCCCCCATCTAGCCCATACTACACAATCATAGCCCACAACAAACTCCCCATCTAGCCCATACATACAAAACTCCCCCATCATAGCCCATAGATACAAAACTCCCCATCATAGCCCATACATACAAAACTCCCCATCTTAGCCCATACATACAAAACTCCCCATCATAGCCCATAGATACAAAACTCCCCATCATAGCCCATAGATACAAAACTCCCCATCATAGCCCATAGATACAAAACTCCCCATCATAGCCCATAGATACAAAACTCCCCATCTTAGCCCATACATACAAAACTCCCCATCATAGCCCATAGATACAAAACTCTTGGCTCTGCTCCATACTAGTGTAATATGGACGTCTCTGAATAGAGGACACTTTCAACGTCCCAAAGTGTCCCTTATTCAGAGGTTTCACTGTAGGCGAGAGAGCCTCACATCATCATTGTCACAACCAATCATCTCCCCGAAGGAGACCTGCTGGCAGTGGCAGTAGAGAGGTTCGTCGGGGTCCAGAGGCTGGCTGCTCAGGTCCGGCATCGGGAGGTTGGTGGGGTCAGGCAGGCTGCTGCAGCTGTCTCCTTCGTCACCCTGGAAACAGAGAAACAACACAGTAACACGGGCCCTGGAAACACTACGCAGACTATTAATCCTTACGTAATCTATAAATAGTGTATGCACATGGAGAATAGATCAGACTTGAGACTCAGTCAGAGTAGAAGATGTATATACCTTGTTACTTCATTTATTAAAGTTTGAGTCACAAAATGTGTTGTTGGTTACTCAATGCACAGTACGCCATACGAAGAACAGATTATGAACATGGGTTACGAGCTAAGAACAATGAAAAATGCTGACCAGCAGATTTCGTGACTCAAAACCTAGTCTTAAATGAAGAACCAACCAAAAGATGAGACTAGTGAGCATCTCAGCATAGTCACACACAAGGCTGGTAGTGCCACAGAAACAACATAGTAACTGAACCTCATGCATGAAAAAACATGTTTATAGCATACTAGCTCAGAGGAAAAGAAAGAACCTCCCCCACCCAAGCACACAAAACGCAGACAATAACATACCCAAACGTACAAAAACACAGACAATAACATATAAACAGAAAGAAAGAGGCAGGACCCTGGGTGCCCAGCCTTGAGAACCAGGGCGGTAGGTTAAAGAGTCTTTTATGGGCCCAACTCTCCCTACACACCCAGTGTCCCAACCTCCCTTACACATAGTTATAAAATAAATAGATAGAAATCATGTACAATTGTCTACTGCATACTCACTTTTTCTTGGCTTTTATCTTCTTCCGAGGCAGTTTGCTGCTGGCAGAGGCTGCACCCCCACTCCCTCCTCCCCCTCCTCCTCCTCCTCCTCCTCCTCCCCCCACACTGCTAGTTGTACTGTTCTCTCGAGACCGCCCGGGGCCTGTGGGGGGCGTGTCCTCTCGCTCACGTGGCTTCTCCGGCTGATTGGTGCGAGGTTTCTTTGCCGAGGACGTCCGTTTTGCCGCCGTTTTCTCTCCCGTCACCTCAGCCTGCACCACTGTAAGTGTTGGGGAAACACAACGGCACGTTTCTCAAATACATACTTACAATCAATCAACGTTCAATAAAAAGTATAGTTCACCATTTTCTATTGTAATCTAACCCCTAGCGGCCTGTTCCCTTATAGCGTACTACGTATCAAACATCTTGTTCCTTCCGTTCTTTCTTGACCTTCATTTAGTAAACCCTCATATTTCAGAACAGAGAACCTTTTTTAAGACCTCGATATGAGGACTGAGCCAGAGCGTATACCGCAATACAATACAAGATGATAAGAGAGTGGGATACGAAATTGTTGAAGAAATATACACGTTCAACAAGTGAAAAATTAACCTGGGTTGTATATAATAGTCACATGGAGGTGCCTTGACTTACGTTGACTTTCGTTCTTCCCGTTGTGATTGTGAGAGTGTGAGGAAGTGCTGGTGTGCCTGGGGGAGTGGTGATGGTGGTCGTCATGGCTACGGGGGCTGTCCAGAACCTTGGCACTCAGACTCAACTGCTGACCATACTCTTCCACCTGGACACCGGACTATAGATTACTAACAAATTACTGGGCAGAAGTCCTTAGATTACTGCAAGAGGTACATAGATTACTGAGAGATTACTGGGAAGGTGTTTAGATTACTGAGGGTGAATAAATTACTGAATGACTGGTGCAGAGATTACTGAGAGATTACTGGACACAGGCTGTAACTCCTCGGGCAGAATCAGAAGGAAAAATGAGCGTACCCGTACCTCATCCTGAAATTCGACGAAAGATTACTATGGTGTTCCAAGGATTACAGAGAGATTACTGTGTAGATTACTAAGTACAGTATGCACATATCAAGAAGGTAGTATGCTCACGGTGTCAACGAGCTGTGAAGACATCTCCATTTTGAGGTTCCCCAGTTCCCTGACTGCTAACATACATCGCTGCAGTCGCTGGATGGCCACACCCACTTCCGTCTCGTTGCCACCGGCAACCGCCCCCTCCAGCTGTACCTTCAGTACGTCTACCTCACCAAGGAGACCTGCAATGATGATGATGATATCAGTCATTGGATCATTCAAAATAGTGGGTTCATTCTCCCATGCTACATAATATACTGTACATCACCAAAATGACACATTACTGAAATTCAACGATTACTCAGTGTGTCGAGGATTACAGAGAGATGGATAACCGTGTAGGTTACAAAACACAGTCAGTAGTCTGAGCACTCTCTTGTCTCTCTAGAGAGCAGAGTGTCTGTAGGTTTGAATCCCACTTAGGGCAGCTCTTCCTTTTTCCTTGGAAAAGAGTTGTCCTGGGTGCAGTTGACTTGTTTGAGTTGCCTTTGCTTTCCTACCTCGCCTTTGTGCTGTCACATGCTATTTCAGCGCATTAGGAAAACAGAACTACACTTTAAAACCCTTTAATGAAAAGCACTATATACAGTGCAAACACTCAGCGAACTGCACATGCACGGTACCTCTAATTGATGGGCTGGGCTATTAGTATGCGTTTACTCGTGGTGTCCACGCTAGTAGCTCGCAGAGAGTCTGACACGGACTAGCTACAGTAGTGTAGATAGCATGCGTGATTCGATACACGCCCTTCATTGTGACTTCTTGTGCGGAGCTGACCTGGTCGAGGTAAGCCTGGTTTGTTGTGCGTAGTGGCAGTAAACGTGGTAACAGACACACAGACCAAGTACTAACCCTCGCTGCGCATGCGCGCGGAGGGTTAATATGCATAGAGAGAGAGAGTGGAGTACATAATCATACCATCTTATATATAGTGTGGCTATTATAGCCTACTGGGAGGTCTAGCTAAAAGAGACAGAGAGAGGGGCCGCCGACTCACGTCTGTGTTGCAACTCCAGCTCACGGAGTCGGGACACGGAGCGCTGTAGCTCCAACGGCATGGTATCCACACCTAAACGAAACAAAGAATCGATATTCGCACACGTTACACGAGCTGATAAGTCTCACATTCGAAGTACTTTTCCAGGTAGTTGGCCGCAGACAAAGCTGCCATTACTGATGTCAGTAGACTGAGCGAGTACTCTCTTCACAAGTCTTTCGCGGGTTTATCGGTGGGCATCAAATGGAGTTTATGGTGCGCGATATTTAGACTCGGGCAACGTGGTTCCCAAAAATAATAATGTCGAACGCGGTCACTGCAGAACCGGATAGCACCAGCTCGGCGACAGACGCTGCTGCCATCAAGCAGGGAGAAACGGGCGCTGCTAAACCGGAGCAGCGGGAAGAGAACGCTGCAGATTCGGGGAAGAAGGAGGAGAGGGATGAAAAGCCTACCAAAATTGAAGGAGGGCAAGAGGCAGAGGCTGAAGCGAAGGACCCTCCACAAGACAACGCAACAGCGGCAGATCCCGAGCAGCCGCCGACCCTGGCCGACTGTAGCGACGGAGCCAGCGCTGAAGCCAAGCCAGCCGCACCAGCTGAAAAAGCTTCCCCACTGCAAGAAAAGATAATCAGACAGGTGGAGGTAAGTTTTGCATCTCGTGAGCTCATTGAATTGCCTTCTCTCTTTTTGCCTGGTGCATGGCTGACTGGATTTCTATTCCTGCAGTTTTACTTTGGAGATCGAAATTTCCCGAAAGACAAGTTCCTCCAGCAAACGGTGGAATCCAGTACCGACGGCTGTATCCTCACATTCACACACAATGCACACCAAATATGACTTCATCCACTGGAGTTGAAGTGTGTGTATGGTTATCCAGTACCATGCCCATACATTGTAGAGTTTTTTCCACTGGTGTTGTTGAAGTGTGGTATTTACCTCAGCCAGTGTTCAGGGGTTCCACTCACTACTCTGCTCACCTTCAACCGCCTCAAGGTATGGTTTCTGGCCTTCACTTAGAAAATCTTCTGTTCACTGAAGCTCCAAGTGAGAGCGAGAGTGTACCAAGGGGGTGACCCCCCCCAATCCACCCCTGCGTTCTACCTAAAGCAAGGCAGTAGTGGGTTACCATCCTTATCTCCCTGCTTCTCTTCTCATTTACTGAAGGGTGCAGTATTACTCTCAGTAAAATGCGTAGCGGCCGTGCATGTATGTAGTTGACTTGTTTGCCTTGCCTTTACCAAGTTGTTGAGACATGCATATACTTGGTTTGAGTTCGTGTCATGGCGTTTAATTATCCAGGTCTGCTCCTACATACTGAGTGAGAGTATACTGTGCCATAGCACGGTGGTTTGAGGTTTGCCTTGTGTTGTGTTGTGTTGTAGATTCGAACCCCTACCAGCTGAGTTGACCTGGTAGCTGCGTTCGCTTAGACTGCAGAGTGTCGTGGGTTCGAATCCCACCCAGGGCAACTCTACTTCTTTTCTTTGAAAAGAAAGAGCTGTCATGGGTGTAGTTGACTTGTTTGCCTGCCTTGCCTTGCCTTTCTACCTTGTTGCCAAGTTGTTGAGACATGCACTGAATGTGTGGTAGGTGATCTATCACCCTACACTAAACATGGACTCAATCATCCCCTTCATTTTTTAATTGTTGGCAGAAACCCTGAGATATATACACTATAGGCATCTCAAGTTACACTGAGAAAAACTGAGTTGGCTTCATTTCTCCTATCGTTATGCCATGTGCATACGTAATATGTATGTGTATAGTGGGAGTATCTCGTTACTCCAAATGTTTGTCTTCCCTCCACCCCATTGAGAAATTGTGAATGAAAAACCTGATTAACCATACATATTATATTGCAGCATACATTGATGTTACGGGGCGAACCCAATAAGCATTCAGACACACTAAAGACCATTTTCTTTCTCTCCAATAGGCTCTCTCGTCAGATGCAGTGTTCATCGCCTCAGCTCTTAGCAAGGCCACTAATGGAATCATAGAGGTGTGTATGTATGTAAATACAGTGTATTCTGTATCTGATTGTCCAGCAAATCGAGCCTGTCTAGTCCTCAAACTTGTTCTAAATGTTCCTGCAATGCTCTGATCAATGATGTTCCGGTTTGCAATGTTCAATGTCCATAGACATTCACAAAACTGTTATGTATAGTTCGTTCTCCCTTGCATAAAGAAGGAAATGTACAGTCTTTAGATAAACTGTGTATTATTATTAGAGACCCCAGCGAAGGCTAGGCCAGCCATACAGTGTGTGTGTGTGTGTGTGTGTGTGTGCATACCTACCAACCATCCAGCTTTTGTTTGATAATCAAGCAAAAATACTGCCTATCCCACCAGAAAATTGCCAAATCCCTCTTTTTTGTGTTTACCTGTGATTCACCATGCCTATACATTTTGAATGGACACACAGCATTTTCAAGCAAAAATACTCCAAATCAAGCAAATTTGACACATTTCTGAAGCAAAGGTTCGTCTGCTAGGTTGGTATATAGGTATGTGTGTGTTATGATAGAGACCCAGTAGAGGCTATACAACATGAAGTGTGTGTGTCTGTGTGTGTTATGATAGAGACCCAGTGAAGGCTATACAACATGAAGTGTGTGTGTCTGTGTGTAGGTAAGTGAAGATGGGAAGAGTGTACGGAGGCACCCTGACAAGGAGGTACCCGACATCTTTGACCCCGAGTTCAGGAAAGAGATGAACGACAGAACTGTCTACGCCGTTAGTTATCATACCCTCGCAGTTACACACTCTTACACCGTCACACCCTCCCACACTCAACCCACACTCTCACACACTCACACCCTCCAACACCCTTTTTCGGTGCTAGATGATGGCCGCCATTCCATCTATTTTTGACTCATAAATTCCCAACTCACCTTGCATATGCATGTACTACAGCACAGGATGCACTGTGACAACTTTTCCACCTCACACGTACATATACAATGCAATGTGCTGTGTTACAGAAGGGGTTTCCAGAGGACACACAACTGGACCAGATTCAGGAGTTCACAGACAAGTATGGAAAGGTGAGGAGTGTGCTGTTTATTTGATAAAATCGCAGAGATAACGTATTCTCATTATGTGCATACTCGGTGTAGATGTACCTGTAGAATTAGTATGAATGATTGGCGAGTGAGTCCACCTAGTTGTCTAAATTCTTCTGAAAGGCACTGAAGTGCAAAAACCCTCGGCGAACGTCCGTGTGAAGACGCATAACAAAACCTTATGCGTGCGCGGGTCGCTAATTGATGGGCTGGGCTGCGCAGTCGAATCACGCATGGTTTCTCGCTAGCTCGCTGAGAGCCTGTCATGTTAGAGAAGACACAGTGTCTGGCGCAATCCAATGATATAGAATTCCCAACCACTGTCAGAATTGGCTTTTATCTCCATGTAGGTCCACCTCATCCACATGAGAAGACTGAAAGATAGGAAATTCAAGGTTTTTACAAATCGTTCTTCTCCCAACACGAGTCGATTGACCCTCTGCTCTGTATGTGTGTGTTGTACACGTCGCCCGTCTTTTGAAGGGGTCCGTGTTTGTGGAGTTTGTGAGTGTGGAGGACGCCAAGAAATTTCTAACGTCTGAGAAAATCAAGTTCAATGGAAACGACCTGATTGTCGAGTGGAAGTGAGCTCACCTTTAGTTTCGTTAATATATTCACACACACCACTTGCACCTAGAAACCCAAACTATAGTATATATGTACAGCTTTCTACTTGTGAGGTTGTGAGGTTAGTATTGCCTTTAGTACACGGTGGATAAACACACCACTTGCACCTACACCCTAACTGTAGGGTGGTTCTATATGGTATATATACATCTAATGTAGCTTTCTGTGCAAATTTTTAGCAACTACTACCAAACTAATGTTAAATGTGCACAGAGCAATGACCCTGTAATTGTACAGTGGTTTGAGGTGTGCCTTTGTGTTGTGTTGTGTTGTGTTGTAGATTCGAACCCCTACCAGCTGAGTTGCCCTGGTAGCTCAGTTGGTAAGATCGCTCACCTAGACTGCGGAGTGTTGTGGGTTCGAATCCCACCCAGGACAGCTGTCTCAGCTGAATTAAGGCCTGCCCAATGCGTGGAACGCCGGATGTGCGCGCTACGTGACCACGCCCATGTATAATTCGTATACTTGACATGCGCGGAATCGGATTTCACAAGTTTACCGCGGTTACGCACAAATTCTCCAATCAGATTTACTAAAAATTACGTAATCTGCGGGTCGGTTTGAGGACAATTCACCCCGGAACGGAGACCAACCCAGGTACCTTTCTTGGCGGGGACGTGCTGTTTTGACGCTGGGCGGCAGTGTTCTGCTTGGTCCTTAGACAGTAAAAGGCCAGAAAGTGTTGATGCAGAATCAACATGGTTGTATACTCATGCGAGAGACTAAAGAAGGTATCTGACGCAAGTATTCCCGCCGTTTGTCCGCAAAAGCGGCCTAATTTTGCCTATCCCGATGTTCTCCCGCCCGCCGCACGGTAAGTAAGCGGTGGATTTTCTCTCGCATGAAGAATACAAATGATTAGCGTACTTTCTTTTTTTTCCATGTCGAATTTATTCCTTAATCTCGACTGTAAACCCACCGCCTAATGTAATAAAAATGCATATTAATTATGATAAATACAAGTGAGCGTGGCCAATTGGGTCGTGTGATTAAGAATGATATGAAGTTTGTTGCATACAAAGTTTAATATTCATAGAGGTTTGTCCTTGAGTTTTATGACAAAATTTCTGCATCGTGGTCTTCCCAGGCCTTAATGCACTAGAGATGTTCTTTAAGAGCTGTTCTGGGTGTAGTTGACTTGTTTGCCTTGCCTTGCCTTTCTACCTCGCTACCAAGTTGTTGGGACATGTACTAATTTAGATGTTTGTGGGGTGGCCGTGTGTGTTTTACACAGGGCAGACTACTTCAAGAGAAAAGAAGGGGAACGAAAACAGAAGAAGGAGGAGCAGAGAAAGGCCAGTAGGTGGGTGTCTATCGCCCTTCATTCAGCCGCTCTTCCACCACCTCTCTACTTTTCACTTTTCACTTCCCTCCCTCTTTCTCTCCCTTTCCTCTCTCCCTCCCTCTCTCCCCCACCTCCTCTCCTCTTTCTCCCCCCTCCAAACTCTCCCTATCCTTCTCTTTCTTCCCTTTCTCTCGTATCTCTCTCACTCTCCTTCTCCCTCTCTCCCTCTCCCTCCTCTCTCCTCTCTCTCTCTCTCTCTTCTCTCACTCCTCTCTCTCCCTCTCTTCTCCTCTTTTCTCTCCTCTCTTTCCCCTCTTCTCTCCTCAGTGGAAAGGAAGGAGGAGAAGAGGAGAAAGATGGAGCTAAAGAGGAGACAAAGTCGGTGGTCAGAGTCAGTGGCTGCATCCTCCATTTCTTGGGGGTAGAAAGTGGGAAGCCACGAGATGACCTGAAAAACGAACTGCTGCCGTTTGGCACCGTAGCTTTTGTTGACTTTCCCCAGGGAAAAACTGAGGTAAGTAGTGAGACTGAATACTTACGATTTTTAGTCGCGAATGGCTACATGATGACCGTAGCAAAAATATTGAACTGCTCGCACTCGCTCACCCGCCAAAAATGTGTGCCATTCGTTCCAGTAGTTTCTGTGTACAGAAATTCAAGTCAGCTTCTCTTTTTGTGTGTGTGTTGTGGCAGGGCTATGTGCGGTTCAGGGAGGATGATGGAGCTAAGAGAGCCAGAGAGGGTCTCCTGGGGAAGACCGTGGGCGGTGCAGGAGTTGCTCAGTTGTGTGGCTGCGACGTGGAGCTGAGGGTCCTTGAAGGTATGTCTGAGATCCACACACACTGTGGCCGCATAATGTAGTGCAGAATTCACAAAAGTAGAAAATACCATGTGATGTATATACAGTGGAACCTCCGAACAAGGGACACTATGGGGCCAACGATTTTGTCCCTTGTAGAGAGGTCGTCCCTATCTCGGAGGTCGAATGATACACTAAAGTATTAGCATGGGGTTGAAACAAGTGTCCTTTGTAGAGAGGTCATCGTCCCTATCTCAGAGGGTCCCTTATCAGAGGTTCCACTGTATAATGGAGATGTTCACAGAACACTCAATATTGAGCATACCGTGGCTGCATAGTCGGGAACCGTCTGCTCACTGAGGATTCGCTATAAGCTAGGTCGCTCTCTCTGACTGTCTAATTCTCTGAAATAAGGCCGTGACTGACTGGTACAACTAAGTTTTAGTACTGACATAGAGCACACGTGCTAGCTGGATCTACTAGGCGTGACGTATATGATAGAACTTGCTGTTGGGGTACAGAGATTAGAACCTACCCAGAGGAGGTTGTGCACAAGTACAATTCCTAAGCCGTTTGCACATGCGGCTATAGTGTAGCTGCAAAAGGAAGTGGCTCTGACTGGTGTTCAGGTGGACCAAGCACTTACTCCGATTGTGTGTATGCTCAAGCGAAGAAAACCCATAGCCTTGCAAATGACTGTGTGCGTTCTGGAGAAAGTGTTGACTCAACGGGTTGACTTTGCGTGGGCGATCATACAACTCTATGGCGTACACGTGACTCAACCGATGACACATGCACAACCTCCTCTGGTAACGTGACGCAACCGATGACACATGCACAACCCCTTTCTGGAACCTACCCACACACATTTGTTCCTAATTAGTGCCCCTCCCTTGTCCAGGGGAAGAGGAGGAGCAGTATTGGCACAAGGTGCTGGATGGCAATGGGGGGAAGGATAGGTCGGGGGGAGGAGGGAGGAGAGGAGGGAGAGGAGGGAGGGGGAGGGGGAGGGGAAGGGGTTGGGGGCACAATCGTAAGAGGAGAGAGAGGCCTTCTGGAGCTGAGGGAGACAGTCACCCACCAGAGTCCAAGGCACAGAAGACAGCAGAAGACTGACTGACTTTGGTTAATATTATAATTTCAACATGATCCTGTTCTTGTACATACATGCCATTTTTCATGATTCAAAATATTATTGCAGGAATGTACTGTTTGCAAAGCGAAATAAGAAAGGCACTGAAGTGCAAACCCTCGGCGCAGTGATGATAGTGAACACACACGCACAATTATGTAAAGTAATGGGTGGGACAATGGTATCACCAGGTGTGGTAGAATTGTTGTACTTACTGGTGCTGTATTTAGGTTCATAGATAAGATTATTCTTTCCTCCCAAGCCTAACATAGTGAGCTACAAAGTTGGAGGCATACTTACTGATACTCTCACAGAGAAATGAGGGAAAACAAAATGGCTGCTGGCCACGTGGTCCCAATCAGCGTGCGCTGCCTGCCGCCGCGCCTCGGAGTCGCATGCGTTTTGGTGTATACACACATGCGCGTTGTTAAAATGGCCGCCCTTGCCGTACCGTACGAACAGGAAAACGCTCTAGCTCTGCAACGAAGCAGGTTTCAGAGAAAATCCCACATATTTTCTGACCTCCGTCGGCCGCTGGGTATGTAAACCCGTTTTGGACGCGATCTATAACTGGAGAAGTGAGTTCTCACTTAACTGACAGAATGACATACACGACAACTACAGTAACCCTCGTTGCACATGGGTTAATAATGCATGAGAGCCGTCCAACCAGCAACCATACAGGCATACAATTATGCGAGTTGCATGGCTAGGAGCCAATTATTCAGCATTTCTCTTGCCTAACATTACTGTGTGGTGTTTACTAAAGCAGATCATGCAGTGTAACTGTCGTGAAAATTCACATTTTATATACTAACACCCACTATATCTAGGTCGGTAAAACTGCAAAATTAGGTGTATATATTACACTCGCAAAAAATAGGGTATAATATTATACTGAGGAACATAATGGAGCTTGGAATGCAGAGAGGACGCTAGACCTTATTACAGATGTGACAAGTGACTGTGTTCGACCCCATGTGACAACATGAATGGGTATATTGGTCAACATAACATGTTGCACACAATAGACACAATACTTTCATGTCACATACTTTCATGTCTTCATGTCTATTGCATTACGGTATGAAAAATCTTGAGCGAAGAAATTCTCCAGAATCCACTTAATTAACTCGAACGTTGGCCGGTCAAGAGGGTCTTCCTTCCAGGTGTCGAGGATTATCTGGTAGAATCTATCAGGTGTGTTCGGGGGAGGAGGCATGCGATATCCAACCTGTAATTTTTTCAGGACTTCACTGTTGGTCATGCCAGGGTACGGAAATCGCCCGTAGGTCAACAGCTCGTACAGTAGGACCCCAAACGACCACACGTCGCTCTTGGTCGTGAATCGGTTGTAAAGGGCAGCCTCTGGAGCCATCCACTTGATGGGGAGTCTTGAGGTTCTATCATCGTAATCGTCGATGAGTCGAGACAGTCCAAAGTCAGATATCTTGCAGGTGTTGAGGTCACCAACAAGTACGTTCCTGGCTGCCAGGTCTCCGTGGATGTAGTCTCGGTCCTCGAGGTACTCCATACCAGCAGCAACTTGGGCGGCCATATCGACAAGACCACGCAGCTTCAGTGAGCGACCCTCTCCCCTCAGGTACTCGAGCAAGCTGCCTTGCGACATTAGCTCCATGATCATCATAAGAGGCTCTTCCTGCGTACAAATGGCATACAACTGCACAAGGTTTGGATGCCGCAGTGTTATCATGATTGCAACCTCTTCCCGAAATGGCTGCGGCTCTATAATCCCATTTTTAAAGGTCATGATAGCAACTGGTATGCTTTGATTCCATTTTCCCTCCCACACCTCCCCAAACCTGCCGTTATATCCGAGTTCGCTGCCAAAGGAGATGGAATCACAAGCTATCTCCCACTCTGTCTGTGTCTTGTGGACAGATCGGTCCGTGGTTTCTCCAGTGGGAGGCAAGGGGCAGTGAGGACAGTGACTAGTCCATCGGAATCCTTGGAGTAATGCTCTATTAGTTCCCTGATAGACTTGAAGACAGCTCGACTGGCGACGTAATAGATAGCCTCATGATCTGGGCGGCGAATGTGGTAGTGCTTCACACTGTCACCATCGTAGATAGAGAGGGTGAAATCCCCCGGTTTGCTATCACTCTCCCGAACCATGAACATTCCTCGAACATGGTGGATTTGGAGGATCCTCTCTGCTTCTCTTCTCCCTATTTTGCCAAAGTACCAGCTGCAGATTGAAGGAGGAGGCAGGAGGATTAACCCTTAGGCACGCATATCTAGAGAGGGTTACAGTCCTCTGTCTCTGTGTGTGTGTTGACTGACACTACAGGCTACAAAGCAGCTTATGAGCAATGCCAGCAGTTTCAGTGCTATATGAGGCCGTGAGAAAAGACGATTTCCAGAAACGACTATGCTAAAAAGCCATACCTCCACGTTTAGCCTAAGCCTGCCTATTTCACATGCACGGAAAAGAAAGTCAGGTGACGTTAGCATCGACGACCCATACCCATTGCAACTCTATATATAGGTTGGACGCGGAAGCGAGGTGTCTACGCTACATTGCAACCCGAGGGGCTGTGGAATGTTGGCGTCCCGAGGGCGCTACCCACATGCCCCGAGGGTTGCAATGTTGCGTAGACAACCGAGCTTCCGCGTCTAACCGGTTTAGACCGGAGTATCTGATTGGTGTTTGCGCGTTCAAATGGGTAGCAACAAGCTAGCAACGCTGCGCTCATTCCTCATTCCTTACCTTCGGATGGAACAAGACGCTTTCGTGTGAGACTCCGAGGAGACAGCCCCCGCCCCCCGTCAAAAATCGTTTACGTCATCATAAAACGCCCTCATTGGTGGTGCGCGTTTGAAAGGGTTTAGCAACGCACGGCAACGGCCCAATGTGTTTGTGTATCGCCAGAGCTGAAGAAGCCGACGCTTTTTTCGTGGAATATTGACGTGATTTCTGACTTTCGCGAGCTCCGGAGACTGTCCACAGACTTCTTGCAGGTGCACTACGCATTTTAAAAGAGCTACTTTGCCAGTCGCGCCTTCTACGCTTACATATACCGAACGCGGAATCGGCCAGTTTGCGCAGATAACGACTTTTGAGAATAGCCATTTTGTACGGGGAGATTGCTGTAGACCACCTGCAAACGCCATAGACACCTGAAACGAGGTGTCTATGAAAAATAAACCCCCCGCAATTCTGTAATCTGATTGGTCAATTGCGCGTGACTGCGGTCTAAAGCTATATATATAGCTGCAGTCGATGAGATTGCAGAATAGAGTGGAATGCAATCAGTATGCACTGTTACATCATAATTTTTATATAGTCTGTTGAAGGAGGACCCTTTTGTGAGCCCTGCTAATTATGGCTATAACATCTTATTGAACTACGTGCCACCATGCTCAGAGCGCTGTCTGTGCTAGGCACGTGTAGGTGGTGCTACCATTAGCCACAAACACTTGTGGTTTGTTCGTTATGATGTGTGTTTGACAGTTTTCTGCCTTTTATTGTTGGTAAGCGAAGCAAGCCCACCTAGGCGTCTAAATGCGAAATTTTCCCATATATTATGTAACGACCAACCGACCAACATATGTTTACGTGATTTTAAATATGCGCTAATCATGCATGAAATATTGAAATGCTCGCACTGCGTAATGCGCGCAAACCACGTGCGATATGCTCGCACTCGCTCGCCAAACAATGCGTTACATTCCTCTAGTTTTAATTTGTTTTGGGGTTTGTCTTTTGTGTACTCTGTCTGTTGTTTTGTTTCTGTTTAGTTTTTGGTTTGCTGTATTAGCTTTAACCATCCATGGACACATAAATGTGTCCAGAGCCTTCATAAGTCCATAAGAATATGCGGGTTTATAATAATAGGTGCTAATACTTACATCAATTTATGCTTATTTAAGCAGATACCCATGGCGTGCAAAGGGTTAATTTTCTCACACTGTGTAGTGTTTTTCAATGTTCGATTGTATTGGTCTTATGGCTTTATCTTGTTTTGACTAACGGGCGCAAGGTGAACGTGAACGGACTTTAGGCTAGTCTGGCATAACCTTCTTATTTCCTGTTTGAATGAAAAGCACTAAAGTGCAAACCCTCGGCGCTAAACGCGCGAGTTGTAGTCTCGCTGTATGCTGGCGGACGACGGAGCCAGTAACACGAGTCTCCCCGTAACACAGGGTAGTTGGTTAGAGCAATAGCTCAGGTGTTTCACAGGCTCACATATTTGATTTATTCAATCTATCCGCTCTTCTGTGCTCCAATGCTCTTGCCAGATGTTTTATAGATGGGAAGGCAGGGCTGCATCCACAAATTGCTCGCCACCTGAACTATTATGCTACATTGCGAATATACCTTGCTCAGCATGTTTATCCAAAGAGAAGCCTGTGGATCATACAACCAATGTGGCGTAGCGCATGCTCCGGCGAAAAATTTACATGACGCATGCGCATGCTGGAGAGGGCGCGTGCGCGATCGACCGCACGTTGGCTTTTTCGCTTGTTTTCACGCCATATCCGTCGTTTCAGGAAAATCGCCACATTAATATCAATCTTCTCTCGTCGTTCACAACCCGTTGGTGCCACTCATTGGCCGCCTTGTAGCCTGTAGTGCTAGAACTCGCGCGGACAGACAGAATGACAGAACGACTATCGTAACCCTCGCTGTGCATGCGCGCCGAGGGTTAATAAGCAGACCGGGTGCCCCCTAGCTAGCTAGACTACTACTGTACTGGGTGAACTAAAGTGCAAACCCTCGGCGAACTGAGCATGTGCGGTACCGCTAATTGATGGGCTGGGCTTTTTATGCCTTTACTCGTGGTATCCCGCTAGTAGCTCGCGGAGAGTCTGGCACGGGCTAGCTACAGTAGTAAATAGCATGCGGGAGTCGATACATGCCCTTCGTTGTGACTTGTTGTGCCTTCAAGACACACAGAGCGAACGGAAGCACTGAAGTGCAAACCCTCGTCGCACTGTGACGCGCGCGCGTAAGTAAACGCATGCGCCGTACCACTAATTGATGGGCTGGGTTTAGTTTTAGCGGTTACTCGTGGTCTCTTGCCAGCTCGCGCAGAGTCTGGCGCGGGCTAACTACACTACTAGATAGCATGCGAGAGGCGATACACGCCCTGCGTTGCATCTTCTGGTGCCTCCGAGGTACGCAGAGCACGCGGACCGATCATGCCGTAGTAAGCCGTTGTGTATTTGCATATTGGCTTTCCCCGCCCTAGCTTAGCAACGGATCGTTTTCAGAGAAAACCGTTCGAAAATTCTGACCTTCATTGCCCGTTCAGTAGGTGGTATCCTTTGTGAGACGAACGAACACTCGAGAAGTGAGATGACGAGTAACGGACAGACGCACACAACCGTAATCCTCGCTGCGCATGCGCCGAGGGTTAATGACCGAAACTAGTGATAGGTTGTCCCTTAGCCATGTTCTAGGGACATACAGTGGACTACTGCAGTAGCTCAATTTATGCACCAAAAACAGTGGTTTCTCCAAAGGCACTTACTCTTCGGCTGCCAGAGTATCACACTTTGCCACATATTGGCGGGGAATGTAGCCTTCTTTCAAGGAGTTTAGATTGCGAGCTCGCCACCAATCACCTTCCTTCTATGTGACAACAGAGGGGGAGAGAGAGAGAGAGCGTGAAGATAGGGAGAGAGATCGAAACGAAGTAGTAGTTATCTGACACTGATAAATGTGGCACTGTATATATTTTCCCTCTATAGTAATGAGGAACCACTTCCTATATACTAACCTCTTCGCTGATGATCTCTAACTTTTCTCCCTTTCTGAAAGCCAGGCTCTCGCTTGTCTTCTGCTCAAAGTCATACAGAGCTACAAACAGTGGACCCTGAACAGCAAAGAGAGATTACTACCCTCCAGATACTGTATACACTAAATACCTCAGGCACATAGAAACTGTCATTGGTTTCCTCTGCCTGTGATTTTTCCGTCACGTTAAAGTGTTCCTGAGAAGCAAAAGAGAGGATCCTATTAGCTTTGGTAATATGTCAGTGAACTAAATTTCCAGTGCAAGAATGCAATTAGGTATCCATTGTTAGTCTACATCTATACTGCCACGTTCCCATTAACTCACTGGTCCAGGTCCTAAAGTTGCTCTGTCATCACTGTATGAAATTCCAAAGGTATGCAGATTACTCTAGATTGCATGCCGATAATTCTCAGCTAACCTAGTGTTCAGTGGAGCGTCACATCTCATGGGGCAAGACTTGGCGTGGGTGTGAAAGGTAGTCATCTCTCCCTGCCACCCACAGCCTCTATCCTCGTGACGACAGCACACGTGGAGTGCGTTCACTTCGCGCCGAAACCGCTTGTCCAACATTGTGTTCCAGTGAGCCTTCTTGCACAGCGGACACGGCAACTTCTCCCTCCGTATCTTTGCAGCAGCTTCCTGCGAGATATGTTTACCGCAGCATGACGTGAGGTGAGGCTGGAGCAGTAGACCCATTGTGACTGGACAGAAAAAGTCCGCAGATGGCTGCTCAACAAATCTGTATTCGTCCATTTCCTCCTTTCCTTCTCCACTGTTGGTTGTGCATTACAAAACAAGACATTTTCATTGTAGTAGGTTGTGCATTACAAAACACTGTAGTTAAAACTATACATTTTCATTGTAGCAATGATAAATGACATAATGTATACCTTTTTGCAGGCGAGCCTTTGTTTTCCAAGCTGCCACTGGAGGTAGGAGTAAGGGAGGGGGCCACCTATTGAAACAGTAACTATAGTTTTACTGATAATTCTTATAAGAGTGTAACCTACCGGCATTTTGTAGAAACACTTTCCGTCAATGTCCAATCTAATAACGCGGAAATGTCTGAAGAGCTGAACGGGCGCCGTTGTCTTTGTCAATCTGTCGAGGACGGAATTAGGCAAAAGCCAGGTAACGGTAAACGACCCAGCCCGGATGCTGTAGATTAACATGGCACACTTGTCCAGGTTGTAAGCCTGGGCATAGCGCTGCCGGAACTCCTCAACCATCTCCAGATTGACTTCCCCGGGCCATTCGAATTTAACGACCACTTCCTTGAAACTTTCCGGTATGTTAGCTCCGAGTTTCGAAGCCTCGGCCAGGCAGAATAGCTCCAACGCAGTGCTCCTTCTGAAATTCTCAAGTTCTCCTTTGTAGCTGGCCATTTCGGTTGCGATGGGGTCGAACTCTGCTTGCTTGAGAGTCAGGACTTCAATGAGTTGTTCCAGGAGATCAAAGGCAAGATAGTTCCAGTAGAGATTCAGGTCTCCAAACAGCTCCCAGTGGTCTTCGCACTTGCGCAGGGTTTTGTGCTCCTTTTTGAGGAACATTTTGTGTTCGTCTACCGCTTTGATGGACATCAACAGGAATACGACGGTTTTCACGACCATTTTGCATTTCTCAAGGCATTCGATTGTCGACATCTTGATGGCGGCAAACCGTCGACGAAAGGTTTTCACCTTCTCCTTCACTCCTTCTACTGAGGCGAGGGTGGTACCTATAGAATGTTGAGAACAAAGTACAGGTGCATAGGTACAATATTATACAGTGGAACCTCTGATAAAGGACCCTCTGAGATAGGGACGACCTCTCTACAAAGGACACTTGTTTCAATCCCATGCTAGTACTTTAGTGACCTCCGAGATAGGGATGACTTCTCTACAATGTAAAAAAATCATTTGCCCCATAGTGTCCCTTGTTTGGAGGTTCCACTGTATACTACACATTCTGACCTGAAGTAGATACTGGACTCCGAGGAGAGGATGGGAGAGAAGATGATAAGGAAGGTTCCAACTGGATTTCGTCATTGGATGGAGCAGTAGTACTTGCTGCAGACTTTGCGTCTAAATGGAATGTGGCAGTATCAGCTAATTTGGTAAGCCCTCTGCATTCGGGCCATATTGCCGCCTCATTCCAATGGCATGCATGATATGCTTTGATGTAATAGACCACAGTAGTAACTATGCATAAATGTATGACTTAAACCTACAAGCGGTAGCATAATAGAGATGCCGGTTTCAACAACAGACTCAAGTTACTACATGTAGTTCCTATGTAGGAAAGAGCCTTTCGTACATCTATGGAGTTGTTCACGGTGGTTAAGAGGTTAGTTTGTACACTTCGCTCGTGGGACTAAAAGTGGTATAATAACCATAGTTGTACTCCAAGGGTGTTATGAACCTAGGCTCACCTGTCCCAGTGGTCTGTGACATGAATCGATGCAGTCGAATGACACGGACTATCATAAAACTCGAAAGCCAGATCTTTCAAACTTCCTACTAGCCTAGAAGGCACCACAGGACTGCTCTTGTTCTACCCGGACATCTTGCGGTCAAAAACCACACCGCCCAACTCGACGTAGATCATACCGTCACCTAACTCGATGTACCAGATACGTTCCGAGTTGATCTTGTGATTGATGCAGTCATGCAAATATTATAGGTACGATATTATACACTGGAATCTCCGATAAGAAACCCTCCGAGATAGGGACGACCTCTCTACAAAGGGCCCTTGTTTCAACCTCATGCTAATACTTTAGTGTGTTGTTCGACCTCCGATATAGGGACAACCTCTTTACATGGAAAAAATCATTTGCCCCATAGTGTCCCTTGTTCAGAGGTTCAACAGTATACTACATTCTGACCTGAAGTAGATACTGGACTCAGAGGAGAGGATGGGAGAGAAGATGATAAGGAAGGTTCCAACTCGGTTTCGTAATTGGATGGAGCAGTAGTATTGGCTGCAGACTTTGTGTCTAAATGGAATGTGGCGGTATAAGCTAAATTTGGTCAACCCTCTGCATTTGTACTGGGTCATATTGCCATATTTATTGGCGAGCGGGAGCGAGCCGACCTAGTCGTTCATTCGAGTGGAATTTTCTGTATAATATGTACGTCGTGTAAGTGCGCATGCGCGGCTTTGTACGCGCAATTTTTGATTGACTTTTGGACGACGAGACGACTTCGCTGGAGCGGGTCCTGTAGGACAACGACTTTTCGTTGCTTTTGCTGTCTCGTGGTTTGAGCAGCAGCGGGTTGAGTCATGCCCATGTGCTGCCGCTGTAATGGCAGCGGGCGCTGCAGGAACTGTTCGTGTTCGAAGGCCGGCAAGCCGTGTGTCGACTGCCTACCGCAACGTAAGGGCAGATGCTGCAACGAGTGTCATACTTCGAGTCAAACGCCTACACAACCGAGCAGTCAAACTACCCCACAGGCTTCCAATATTATTCCGAGTTTAGGCTCAGCGTGCGTTGGAAGTCAAGATACCCAACCGCCAACCCAGCCTTCTCCTGACAACGAGATGGCACATGAAACGTCCGATCAACGGTCTATGGCTGACAACAGTGGAATGTCGTCTTTGACTGACAACAATGGAATGTTAGGTGCCGGACCTGATTTTCTTCCAGATTTTCTTCCAGAACAACAAGATCAGCAAATACTACGAGATCAGCAAATACTTCCAGAGATAATCCCAAGTGACCAGACTATAATTATACTCCAACTCCTGAAACGGTATCTCAACATCCACTCAGCCAACCGTCTAATCATGGGCTGTCAGCCACCCCTGATTGGCCTTCACCAGCCCTACACCCTCCAGATTTTCGTTGGGGCTCTTACGAAGGAAAAGCATACTATGATGCCGTAACAACTGCCTACAACGAAGTCATCCATTGGAGACGCAATGTTTTCCTGGTGCCATCAGGTACGACTGGAAAGGCTTTTGTTTCTGAGCTAGCTCGCCTTATGCAATCCTATGCAGACGGCTCAAGCCTTGAGAGTATCGCCATGAAGCGATGCCTCCCGCAACCTATGCTCTGCATTGGCCACAGTGGGTCGCCGCATATGCACTACCCTTGTCCATCCAGAGGGGTTGAGCACATTCGTGGCATGCCGATGGATCCCACTCGACAAATGTCCAGGCGTGAGACCCATCGGAGTTGGAGAGGTCCCGAAACGAATTCTAGCAAAGGCTGTGCTACGGATTGTGGGTCGAGATGTTGAAGAGGCAGCCGGTCCTCTCCAGGTATGTGCTGGTCAAGACGGTGGATGTGAGGCAGCAGTACATGCCATGCGACGTATCTTCCACCACCCTGACATGGAAGGAGTCTTGCTGGTGGATGCCACAAATTCCTTTAACACGATCAACAGGCAAGCTGCCCTCCAAAACATCAGCATCATCTGCCCATCAATAGCACAAATCCTGATCAATACCTACAGAACACCGGTCAGGATGGTAATTGTCGGAAGCGGAGAAATCGCCTCAACGGAGGGCACTACACAGGGAGATCCATTGGCGATGGCCATGTATGCCCTGGCAGTAACCCCTCTAATCCACCAGTTAAGAACAAATTCACCGGATGTACAGCAAGCCTGGTTCGCGGATGACGCAACAAGTGCAGCCTCCTGCAACAAACTGAAGACTTGGTGGGACGACCCCATAGTGCTCGGACCAACATTTGGATACTATATACCCAAACCGTTCAAAAACCCACTTGGTAGTGAAGCCTGAACATGTAGAAACGGCCAGACAGTTATTCACTGACACCGATGTGAATATCTCCATTGAAGGGAAACGTCATCTGGGTGCAGCTCTCGGGTCCAGGACCTTCACAGAGGAATATGTGACCAACAAAGTGCAGGGCTGGACACAGGATATCACACGTTTAGCTGAAATAGCTACCACCCAACCACATGCAGCTTTCACCCATGGCTTCTCTAGCCGCTGGTCCAGAACGATCCCTGACATTCATGATCTACTACACCCCCTGGAGACTGCTATCCACCAATGTCTGATCCCAGCCATCACTGGCCGAGCACCCTGCTCCAGACAGGAACGAGACCTCCTCGCCCTCCTGAAGACACATTTTCACATGCGGTGCCTCGCGATATGCGCCGATCGATCTAGCCAGCTAGAGAACTCTCCTCCATTCGACGGCATGCGCTGCAACCTTCGGTGACTGACCGAGGCTGTACCTCTTCCCAATCTTCATGGTTCCAAGGTGCAACTTGCAAATACGCTAAGATTGCTCGTGCACATACTCCTGCATGCCAGCTGCCTGGTGGACCACGACTGATGAGCTGAAAGCGTAAGGTAAGTACCGTTCTGCTCACCTGCTCACCGTTCTGCCAATGTGCAATACGCATGTAACAGCGACATGTAGATCTGTCTTGCTTCACGAAAGGAAAGCTGTGCGCTGACGGCACGTTATGCAGCCCGAACATCGCGGGCAAATCCCAAGTTGGGTCGCTCCCGCTCGCCAACAATGTTCAGCATTTCCACTAGTAGTCTACTCATCATGTACTGCCCCATTCCAATGGCATGCAGATATGGTTTGATGTAAATGGGCGAGCGGAGCGAGCCCACCTAGTCGTGTCTTCGGCTCGAATTTTCTATTTGCCGAGCACATTAGCGTGAGGCAACTACTCCGGGTTGTATTCGCGTACGTACGTACGTGTCGGTCACGAGAATGTCAATTAGTCACGCTTAGGGGAAT